AGCCCACTAACAACTGCATAGAAAAGACCCAACAGGTTCAAAAACCAATCTGATCAGTTGTTCCGTCTCCAGGTCCAGAAGTTATATTATCCTGAGCACTGTAAATAAACTCACTTACCTTTTACATCTGTCCGTGTGTTTGCTCTTCTTGCTGTCTTGCAGTGACATTATTATTGAAACCTGAAAGGTGCTCACTGGCTACTAGGTTGATGTAGTTTTACTTTTTTCTCTGCTCAAACATATCTGATTTGATGATTGAATTGCCTTGAATTAAGTTCTGCAGAAGCCTTTTAAATGCCTAATTTATAAACAAAAAACATGCAGGATGGTGGCCTTCGAGATTCAGAATTGGACTCTCTTGCATTTATCTATCAACCTGTTTTACCAAGTTTGAGTAAATTGTGCTAAACAGTGAACATATAGGATACACACTATATAAATCCTGAACATCATTTAAGGCTAAATTTAGTTTGGCCCAAAAAGTTTATATTTTTTTCGGGCTACTTATTCGATCCATGAGTTATTGTGCATTGGGTCAGCTGATGTTTGGACTTGTTACGAGATTGTTACAGAATACACATTTCCTGTTTTTACATTATGCCACATATGTTTAAATAAGTTGTTCCTGTTTTTTTGTTTGTTTTTGTTGTTGTTGTTTCTTTAAATTGACACTGTAATAGAACTAATACTTTCTGTTTGAGCAAGTAATTCATGACATCCTTTAATGACCTACGTTTTCATGACATGCTGTTCATCTGCAGATAGATTGATTAAAGTCAGAACAAGATTTGCTAACAACAGTCATTCTTAGATATCACTTGTGTTTATCTTTGTGTTTTCCATTGACCTTGTATCAAATCTTGCTAAGATGACAGAATGGTGTTTGTTAATATACTGTATATATGAGGCCTCTCAAGAAACAGGGTACACAGAGTTCAACAGCAGTGCGGAGAGACTGACTGAAAGAAGCAGAGGCACAGAGACAGGCCAGGTTCTCTGTGTTTCCTGTTGTTGCAATAAAACTCAGCTGATCATCCCACGGAGTAACTTCATTCTTGGACTATGTATTTCTGTCTTTGTTAAATAAATATCAACATAACAGCACCATTTGCAGAAGCACAAGGTATTAACAGCACAGGTACATTCCCCTTTAAACTGAAGCATGAAGCCTCGTTTGATTTTAAAATAAATTAGTAGTTCATGCTGTTCAAACCCTACAAATAAATCCATGAATCATAAAATAAAGAAGTGCAAAGCTCAGCTGGAAGGGAAAGTTTCAAATGACAGGTGTAACGGAGTAAGATGTTAAAACAAACCTTCCTCAGCGATTTAAAAGCACTTCAGTGGATTGAAACAACCCTGAATATGATTGCTCTTGTTCTCAGTGTTAATGTGACGCAGGTCACAGCCTCCTCATCACTCCACAATGAAATTATGGATCAATTTTCACATGTTTACAGCATCAAGTGGAGGAAAACACCTGCTGGCTCAGCTAATAAAAGACAGGAAGTGAATGTGACAAATGTTTTTTGAGAACAGAAATACCTGCACAGCATCTGAATCATTGCTTACTTAAGATCCAAACATGGAAAAATAACTGAAAATGGGAAGTTTTCTCTAAATAAACTTTTTTTTATTCATTCCAACTTGCTTCACCAGAGACTGCTTCTTTACAGATGTATTGTTTACATCAAGACATTCTTCAAGTTAAAATAAAAAAATTATACAAAATGTCAGACTACAAGTAAACATGTCAGATTTTAATAAAAACAAAAAGAAAGAGAAAAAAACAGTAAGATGAAGCCAATTCTTGTAACGATCTGTGTCTTGTGTGTGTGCTTTCTATTGTCTTGTGCCTCTCTCTGGTGTTCCTTTCATGTCATGTCATCTCAGTCCTCAAATTATTCAGTCTCTTCCAGTCAGTTCTCTCACACCTGTTGTTACTCTTTAATCACCCAGTTGTTTACAACTTCCACTCATCCCTGTTTGTATAAATTCTGCTTATTTTCTCTCCATCTTCGTCCCACCATTGCTTAGTTCCTGTCCTGCACTGGCTCCCCTGTGTTTTCCTCTTACTTGTAGGTTTCAGGTTTTTTTGCCACCACGCTGGCCTTTACTTTAATAAAGTTTTGTTTAATTTTGAGCCTGTCTGCATTTGGGTCCATCCTGCCACCAAGACCTTAACAGAATGGTCGAACCAACTATGGATCCAGCAGACAGTCCTGTTCTTGGGTTGTCCCCAGAGGAAGTTCTTTTGGTCCAGGGGAGGACCCGTGCTCTTATCAAGGTGGACGGCCTTTCTGTGGACTTGTGGACCAAGTGGGTGGCAACAGAGGACTTTGTCTGTCTGTTTGCTCAGCTCCCCCACCTGATCTCCAGCCCCGGGATGTCAGAGCTCTTTTCAGAAGCCCTGGCATGCAACAGACTCCTCCGTGCTGCCCTTCTTACCCCATCTGCTGGACCGTCCGTCGAGCCGAGGGGTTCCAGCTCTGCCAAGCCGATAGGTTCCTGCTCTCCAGAGCCGATGGGTGCCCACTCCGCCAAGCCTTTGCTGCAGGGGAAAGGGGACCCGACTGCAGTCTCCCTGAGCTCTTCAGGTCGCCGCCGCCGCTGGAGAAGAACGGCAGCTTCTTCGGGGCCAGTTCCGGCGGTCTCTCTACCTTGCTCCGCCGAGCTGATGGGTTCCTGTGATCCATAAAAGGGTCGACACCTCCATATCCTGCGTTCCTGAGAGGGTCGACGCCTCCATCTCCTGCGTTCCGGAGAGGGTCGACGCCTCCATCTCCTGCGTTCCGGAGAGGGTCGACGCCTCCATCTCCTGCGTTCCGGAGAGGGTCGACGCCTCCATCTCCTGTACCCCGGAGAGGGTCGACGCCTCCATCTCCTGTGCCCTGGAGAGGGTCAGCACCTCTGCTCCCTGTGTGGGTGCCCTTGGGGAGAGGGAGATGGTGGTCACCACCTCTGCTGCACTTTCAGCGGTGGTCACCATGTTCGCTGCAGCATTGGTGGAGGTCCTTCTACCTACTGCAGCTGAGCCCCCTCCTCTGCTGCTGCTGGGCCTCCTGAGCCCTCATCGTCTGCTGCAGCCCCCGAGGTGGTCCACGACCCTGCTGCAGCTGAGACCTCTATGCCGCCTGCTGCAGCCTGGCCTCCAGAGCCCTCTTCGTCTGCTGCAGCCCCATCATCTTCTGGTCCTGCTCCAACATCCAAGTCTTCTGTGTCCATGCCGGCCCCTCTAGAGTCTCAAGAGCTCCATCCTCGTCATGGCCGGGCTCCAGGTCACCCACCAGAGCTCCATCCTCATCGTGGCCGTGGTCCAGGTCGCCCACAAGAGCTCCATCCTCGTCGTGGCTGGGCTCCAGGTCGTCCACCATACCTCCATCCTCGTCGTGGCCGGGCTCCAGATCGCCCACCAGAGCTCCACCTACGATGCGGTGGGATCCATGTCCGTCCATCAGAGCTCCACCTTCGCTGCGGCCGAGTCCACGGTCGTCCTCCTGAGTCCCTACCACATTTTTGTTAGGCTCCTGGGCACCCACCTGAACTTTCTGCCCCACTTCAGATGTGCCTAGGGCCATCCTAGTGACTGACTTTGTTGTGTTATCTCCCAGGGTTTCTTGTCGGTTTTTGGTTTGCCGTTTTTGTTCCCTGGCTGTTTTTTGTGTCTCGTGGTCCATGTTGTCTTTATTGTTGTTTCTGGCCCTCCGTCCTGTATTGTTGTTTGTGCCCCCTCCACCCTCCCATGTTTTGGTAATTGTCGTGAGATGATCTTTGGAGAGGGGGTACTGTAAGGATCTGTGTCTTGTGTCTGTGCTTTCTGTTGTCATGTGCCTCCCTCTAGTGTTCCTTTCATGTACTCTCAATCCTCAGATTATTCAGTCTCTTCCAGTCAGTTCTCTCACACCTGTTATCACTCTTTAATCACCCAGTTGTTTACAAATTCCACTTATCCCTGTTTGTATAAATTTTGCTCATTTTCTCTCCACCTTCGTCTGACCATTGCTTGGTTCCTGTCCTGCCCTGGCCCCCCTGTGTTTTCCTCTTACTTGTAGGTTATATATATATATATATATATATATATATATACACACACATACATACATACATACACACATACACACTGTATATATGTGCTAATAAGCCTGAGTGGTCTGTTGACTGACCTTTGTATTTGTTCAAATAATTGTTATGGGCAGGTTACAATATAAAAAATGTTTGTCATAATCATGTCTTGTGATTATTTGACAGGAGTTTAACTTTTAAACTGTAAGCGTATTTAATTTAGTTATGTTAGTTTTGATAGTTTAGTTATGAAGATGTAATTACAATACAAATTAAACCAAGATTTAGAATAATTATCATTTTGATCCATACATTAGTAATGTCTGACTGGGCCTCATGCCAGTTTTTGTTCAACAAATTGGGCCCCGAGGTCAAAAAGGTTAAGAACCCCTGGTCTATATGTCATCATTAATATTTCCAGTTTCAGCGCCAAGAAATGAACTTCCTTTCTTCTTATTTTTTCCTGTTGCCATGGTGAATCATGTTATCTGACTTCCATTAATTAGGGCTTCATGCTCCAACTCAACTCAGAGGTAACTTGACTCAGAATTAAGTTACCCAGTTGATATCAGCCGTTCTGAAACCGAAAATCCTGAGTATCACAGAGCGGGGTAAGTTGATTCAGAGTATCTGTGTTAACCCAGGCTTTGTTAAGCTGCTGTATGAAACAGGGCCCCGATGACAGGCTCTAAATTAAAACAAAAGCTGGGTCACTTTGGAACAAGTTCTATAACTGATTTGTCATCAGGAAGCAACAGTGTAAAAATGTGGAAAGTTCAGGAACTTCATCACAAAAACAGGAAAAAGAAATGTGGACTTGGGGAAATTTAACCTATTTGTATCCAAAAGTAAAAGTTCTGAAAGTTTTGTTTGTTTACAGTAAGATACTGTACCTCTTATTTACACAATAATCAGATCAACAATATTTAAATACTTACCGTGATCATGACTTCCTTTATGATTGACCTCCTGGGCACTGATGCGGTGGCTGCCCCCCAGAGGAAGCAGACAGAACAGCAACCACAACATCCTGACCGTGTCTGCCAAACCTGTCAACAAAAACAACAACAAACATGAGCTGAGAATGTCCTCCACATCCGCCTGACATCCCTGCAGCGTTTCCCTCGCTGTGAGAAAGCGTCTTCATTATGTCTTCCAAGAAGAGGAGTCCCTGAGACATGAGGAGCTCTCAGTGGTGACGCAGCTTTGGTCCCCCGAGTCACCATCCACATCACAAGGGATGAGCTAATACAGCTTCCTCCATCTTCCCACTCAGACCAGTCACGAACAACACATTCACCACAGAGAGCCCATGCTTTCCTAACAGCACAAACAAAACTAAACTTCCTCCATAAGTTTGTGAGTGCATGATAAAACTAAAAAAATGTGTTTATGTTGGCAAACCTTAATTTATATGAACAGTCAACCAGTTACATTTTTATGCACATGACCAATGGCAAAATTAGAAAGAAAATATAATGAAAAATGAAGAACAGACAATCTGTGTGTTGTTCGTTCTTTGGTTTTTCTGTTTCAAAATAAAATTGCAAAAACAACCATGTTGTTTTAAAACCTAAATGTAAAAATGAGGAAGTCGCTTTATTTTGAAATGGAAAAACCAAAGGATACACAGATTACAACAGACAAATTGTGTTCATTTGATTATCCACTTTGAAAATGAATGGTCAGTTTTTCCTGATCTTTGATTCCTGATGTGTGATGAGTTTTCTAAAAAGATGAACAGAGTAGTTTAATTCAAAACAGCCTTTGGAATTGATGCAATTAGTGAAACAGGAAATGAAACAGGATATTCATTAAGGACAAAGGAGCAGCATGAAACACTACAACACAAAATAATTTAGCTTTAATCACAGTACAATTCAATTTTGACCAAGTTTGTTGATTTTCTGAAACATTATATTTGTATACTTATAAATTTGCAATATTCCAAATGTGACTGGACTGTCTTATATTAACCGAACATTTTAATCTGAATTTGTTTGAATTCAATTTGGTTATTTTTCTATTCTGAGACCTGAGATGACTTTGTTGTGAATTTGTGTTGTATAAATAACCTAAACTGAATTAAATGGATTGTTTCATGCAGGACTTTGGCAGCAACTTTAAGGATTTTGAAAATAACTTCAGAGCAGAACAATAGTTTCCATGAACACTTGACCTGTTCCAAACACTGCTGCCTAATCAACTTAGCAGTTAGCTCCATGACCTCTGTGTACACTAATCTATGTGGGGCACAATTTAACGCTGTAGTACTTTAGTACTAATACACCTGCCCACTGAAATGAAACATTAAACCTGTGTTTTTATAGGACAAAGCGGAACCTGATGGAAAAGTTGAAACTGTTTGTGCTGAGTAAAAGTACATGAAAGCAGAGATTAGAAGCTCCCGTCCTTAATCTGCTTAGAACCGTTCTGTTGCAGAACACATTTTTAGAAAAGCTGATGAAAGAACAATAAAGCACACGGTTAGATTATGAAACATGGGAATTATTGAAATGTTGTAAAAGAAAATGTGTCATTCTAACACAATATGACACAGTGAGGTACAAATATGATTAGTTGTTAAAAAGATTAACTTAGTTCTGGCAGACTGGACAATTTGCCCCAGATGCCTTTATATTTATAAAGATATGGAAAAAATAAAGAGACCACTTTAAAATGATCAGTTTCTCTGATTTTACTATATGTTTGAGCAAATGAATGAATATTATGTCATATATATATATATTATATATATTATACATATATATATATAGACATTGCTGAAGTGAAGCTTGTGGAAATTACACCACTGGAAACTTGTGCAAAATTCAAAGTTGAAGGCAGTACAACAAAATTTAGGTGAGTGACCATTTTTTTGGGCCAGGCAGTGCATTTTCCCTGTGTAAATACGCTGATCTCTCCAAATCCTTCAGAAACATTGTTCTCTTCAGCTTCTGGCTCTGTTTCTGTCTCATTAAGCTACTTTAATACAACGTGTTTCGGGGACTGATACAAGTATCAATACTGTATTTGATACTCTACTGAATGAGTTAGAGTTTACATTTTAAGTGAAAATTTTGTCACTTCCATGTTTAAGAAAGGTATCCAAGTTGAATTTTTTTTTTATTTTTATTCATTTAAAAATGTTGCAACAGTATACTGTATATTTTAATGTATATTTGATTTGATAGTCAGAGGGGCTTTATGCCTATAAGAAGGGGGAAAGATACCTTGATGTAAATGAAAGCAATGTGTTTTTGAAGTCACTGTGTAGTGTTTAAGTTCTAAGTCTGTAAGTAATTAGTATTGGTAATTGGTATCGGCGAGTCCTCAAACTAAATTACTCATGGCTACTCAGTTTGAGAAAAACTGGCTTTAAAGGACCAATATCATATATTTCTCAGGCATGTAGTACAGTTCTTTACCATAATAAAGTAACTATGTCACCTTCAGTTGCATACATGCCAACCCCTTTGGAAGTTTACCTGCATAATGAGCCCCAAAAATCCGCAAGTTTTGTAAAACAAATCCATACCACCCATGCTGGGGGGGCTGTCACCTGCAGAAATGACATCACCCCCTGGAGGAAAGGAGAGTGGAAGAAGTGAAGAACTTATTTCTAGTCTTATTTGTAGCGGCAGAGCATGTTGGAAGATGGTTGCTTGATGTTATGTCCTACAGGCTCTGACATGTTAAGATAATTTGAAACTGAGGTTTTGGAAAAATCCGTGAGACTGCTCTGTGCCTGCAAAGTGATGGAAAATTTGTGTAAATTATGGACAATCTGTACAAATTAACATGTATGCAGTTGTTATTAAAATGCTGTTTATATGTTTAAATAAAAAATAAACTTGACTTCACATCACAGATGTTTCTAAACTCTTTGAAATTAGTCTCTGTCTCTTTAAAAACTTCCTACCACTTCTGTCATGCCCATTTCTGCACGTCTTCACAGCAATTTGAACCATTCTTTGTCGTAACATGTTTTGAGGTTTGAAAGCCACTGGGACGTCTTTCAAACCCCAAAACACGTTACGACAAAGATTAGTTCACCCCAAAGTTCCAGTTCCCCTGCAAAAACAGAGTAATATAGTATATGCTGTTAAGTGTCAGGAGGACTGTGATCAGTCATACACAGGGGAAACAAAACAGCCACTGTTCAAAAGAATGAGCCAGCACAGACGAGCTACATGATCAGGTCAGGACTCTGCAGTTTACACTGACCTACGGGCCAGGGGTCGGATTTATAAAACTTGCGTATGCACAATTTGAGCCCAGAAACTTGCGTACGCCACTTTTCACGCCAAGGTTGTGATTTATAAAATCCAAACTTGACGTGAAAATGTGCGGTGCCTCAGCCAGCTCTGACTCATGCCTACGCTCATTTTGGAAACGGGAAACTGCGACACAGATGGTGAAGTGAGGAATTAGACCTACACTGTGTAATGATCACTGTCAGATATTTAATTTCACTTCATAACCAAACTTAGATTATTTATTTATTTAGCTTTCTTAACAGTAATATTTATGCTTCTGCTGCTGAGCCATGAGGACATTTGAAATAAAAAACTTAAATCTTAAAATGTATCTTACCCCCCTGTGAAAAGATAACTCCGCCCCAAGGCGAAATTTGAAAAATGCATCAAAGTAGATAGGGGAGGGGTGTGGGTAGGTGAAGCGGGGTTAGAGAGCGGAGGTGTGGCCAGGACGAGAGAACGTGACAGCTAGCATTAGCATAATTGATGCTACATGGAAAGTGACCACAGTATCGCAGACAGTTATATCTCTGAACGTCTGAGTTGGAGGATTTTCACCCCACACCAGCACCGGACAGAGGAGGAGGAACGCTCCGACAGCCTGACAGAAAAAAATAAAAGCATACAGCTGCTCACGATTGCTAGTTTAAATCAGGAATAAAAGTAGTTTACATGTATAAAGAGCCCTAAAAATCCATAAATTTTGCAGAAAATCCTTACAACTTGCACCCGCGGGGGGGGGGGGGGGTGCAGCTGCGGACATGAAAGCTTCTGCTGCGAAACAGGAGGAAAGGAGAGAGGAAAAAGTAACT